AGGGATGCCGTGCAGGCTGCGACACGGCAGCAGTTGCTGCGCAGGCTGAGGCAGGAGGGTCTCCAGCTTCACCCCAGCCTGGGAAACTGAACAGACTGAGCCAGTCTCAAAATAAAGTAGGAAAACAGAAGGGGCTGGCGTGACGCTCCCTGTGCAGACGTGCGTATCCGGGTGCGTACCCGGTTGGGGAAAGAAGAAAAATAGGCCTCCCCCCTCCTCTTCCTCCTCTAGTGTCCCCTTTGATCACCTGGGGCTTGAGCTGTCTCTCCTGCACCCACCCGGAGCTGAGCTGGTTCTCTGCCCATGGGCAGAGGCGATGGGGTGCTTGGGGTGCAGGCTGAGCCGGGCCCAGCACAGGTGCCATCAACTCTTGTTTCTGAGACGGTCCCCCCAGGATTCTCCTGCCTCAGCCTCCCAAGCTCTGGAATTACAGGCATGCGCCACCAGACCCGGCTGATGCTCAGATTCCTAAAATATGTGGCAATAAAGGCGGGTGCAGGGCGGCTGAGGCAGGCAGGCACAAGCTCAAGCCCGTCCTGAGAACGGAGGCCCGTCTAAAAAGAGCTGGCTTCCATAGTCAGCTCGGCCCTGTAACCACGGCAGAGAGACCCGTCCCGTTCTAGCTGTGGGCGGGCCCACAGAGCCGCTTGTGTCTACTGGGCGCTGTTACAGGAAACTACACGCTGGGAGGCTGAGGCAGGAGGGTCGCTGCGAGTTCGAGACCAGCCTGGGCTACAAAGGGAGCTCAAGGCCAGTCTGAGCTGTCTCAAAAAGCTAAAAAAATAAGTATTTAGCAACCACCCCAGAGAGCTTGCGCGCCGCTGCTGGAGCCCAGCCCAGGGACCGCGGGGTGTGGCGGCCACGAGCCCAGGAGCTGAGCACAGAGGGGCGCTGGTGTCGGGCCGCCCCTCGCCCGGGATCCGAGTCTCGCGGGCTGCAAGCTCGGCGCTGCAAACGCAGGCCCAGGCCAGACGCGGCCTGCAGGGCTGCCCGGTTCCACCCGGATGCTTTCGGTGGGTTCAGCTGGCCCGAGCACCCGCGGAGGCTGCACCGGCAGTCCGTGGTCCCCGCTGCGGCCTGGGGACAGCGCAGGAGCACAGCGCCGGGCCCTGCACCCCGCAGCCCAGCGGAAGCGGCCGGGCCAGGGACCCTCCTCCTGAGCTGTCCCGGCGGCCGCAGCAATCCCGCATGGCGGCCCCAGCCCGGGGCAGGCTGGACCTTCCCTGATCCAGGGCGGACAGGCAGGCCTCTGCCGCGCGCCACCTCCGAGGGACTGGTGCGGGGCGCGGGCTGGGCGCTTCGGGGCGCCGGCTAACCCCTGCCAGGCCTGCAGGGCTTGCGGGCCTCTTGGTGCCTGGAACCGCAGCAGGGACCACAGGAGAAAGGAGCGGGCTGGTCCCCGCAAGTAATGACAGCAACAGCCATGGAGGGTACGACTAGGTGGAGACAGACGGGGAGGGGACACAGGCTGCAGGGACAAAGGAGGAGGGCCAAAGGGCGGAGGAAGAGCAAACAATGGGGGGGGGCTGTCATCTGGAGGCCGAGGCAGGAGGCGCGGGGCAGGCTCAAGACCATCCAGGGCTGCACAGCAGCTCAAAGCCAGCCGGAGCCTGCTGGGGAGGCGGGGATGTCGAGCAAGGCGGAGGCCGCTGGCAACCCTGGTGAAAAATATATATCCAGGACGGAAAAGGCAGCAAAAGAGAGAGCAAACACAGCTTTGGTTGTGTGGATGCACGGCAGGCATCCCGGCATCCGGGAGGCTGAGGCAGGAGAGTCTCAGTAAGATATGCACTTGGGAGGCTGAGGCAGGAGGATCGCTGCGAGTTCTGGACCAGCCGGGGCTGCCCAGCGAGACCGTGTCTCAGAGACAAAAGTAAATCAACTAAAAGCAATGGTAAGGGGTGAATGCAAACGACGGGAGGGAGAGGCCAAGGCAGGAGGACCCCAGGGTCCGGGAGGAGACCTGCATTCCCCAGAGCCTGCTCCGGGCGGGCATCGGGGAATCCGGGGTGACGGGGTCAAAGGTCATGACCCCACCGCGGACGCACCCCGGAGCGGCGGGCGCGGTGTTAGGGAACCGCGGAGCGCCCCCAGGGCCGCCCACGGCTAGGGCTGGGATCTGGGGTCCCCGCTGCGCAACCCGAGATCCCGCCGCCCGCTCTCGGTCCCCCTCTCGCCACGCCGTG